AAAACATTATAGTAAACTTTTAGTCATTTTGTTTTCCATATATTATGTGTCTTTAAACTAATCCAGTGAGGCTAATTGATGTATCAGAAATGAGAATCAAGGTGACAGGTTGTATAAATATTTCGTTGGTTGTTTTTTTTTTCTACAACTACAATTAATTTCTACACACTTCCTGTCTGTCATGTCTCCAGCAGTGTGTGACAGCTTTAAGGGCTGATTTACGAGCACACACTTACTGATCATCATCATCTGAAAAGCTCAACATCTCTCTATTTATGCTCTCAACAAATAACTAATGTGAGCCAACTAGGATTTGTCCCCAGGTTCATTGTAAACGCTGACTTATCCATGTGACTGTTAAGAAGCAGAAACATAACTTGTTTCTCCATGTGCAACATGTTAGTCTGGAGGTTTAAACTGGTGTCCTCTCACAGAGTTGGTGATTCAAACTAAACGTTCATCTCTGTCAGAGAAAACTGATCTGAGTTCAGACTGTTTACTTACAGCACAGCTACACTCACAGATAACTGAGCCTCCTACCTGCCTGTCAAACACCATCAACCCACAAACCTTCTCCAGTCCGGACTGAGTGGAGTCCTGCGGGGTGAAGCTGTGAAGGCTGTGAGCGGAGCTAGCTGCTAACAGCCACCGCTGCAACAAACAAACTCCACAAATCCATTCAGCAGCTCCACCATCCACAGTCAGACACACGGCTTGTCACTCATGCAGCATTTGAAGATAATTACAAGCACGGTCGCTCTCAGCGTTCAATGTCCAATAGTCCACCGCATTTTCGTCAAGTTTCGTCAACAAAAATCAAACATAGATTCCATCTTACTTTTTATTATCAAGAACTATTTTTAGCTCGTCATTGTCTCGTCTTTGTCATGGAAAAAATGCCACCAAAAAATTGACAAGCAGAGGTTAAGTGCTGCCAGAGCGCACAGGAACGACGCTCAGTCATGTTTTTTCTGGAGCTAGAATAGAATATTATGCAGTTCACATAAGCCACATGTGAGGGGTGAAGAAAAATGGGGACCATTCTATTGATACAATCCACAACTTTTTACAATGGCAGCACAAAAATAACCATTCTAATGTGTACCGAACTGAACTGGACTGAACCGGACTGCTTAATGGACACATTATGAGGCTCAAGAGATATGAAATATAGTGTGATATCCTGGATCAAAGTGTTGGACCAACAATAACCAACTGTTACCACACATAGCACTCTCCTGTGGTGGCTGAGACAGTGCAACAAACTGCAGCGTAAGAAAGCCCATACAAACACAACACGTGTTCCATGACTTGCATCTAACATGCCTGATTACTGCCATGTTTATTTCATTTTAACATTTTTTTGTCTCACTTTTGCATCATAACAAATTAACCTGTGCACATGAAGGGTTCCACTATTTGCTTTTGTTTTCTGTATGTGCAGCACATTTGATTATGATGCATATAGAATATAGAATTAATAGTTTACAGGTGTATTTTGAATAAACACGACACAAGGAATGTCAGAGTAATAAAGGAGCTGTTCTTTATTTGCTGCTGTTCATCTATTTGCATGTGTTTCCTTAAGTTGTCATGCATTCACACTCCTGGCAGTGGAAAAAGAATTGCAGATATATAGATAGATCAGATAGATGGATAGATGGATGGATAGCGCTGCAGAGACAGTTGGCCGTTTTCACCTAGAGGTGTTTGGGTGAATACTAATTGGAGGCCAATAAAGAGTCCCATTGATGACGGAGCACAATGGAGAAGCAACACAAGCAAAAACAGAAGAATCCCATTATTTCATCTTTTTTCCACATTGGACAGTGTTTGTGTGACCGCCGCCTGCTGTCACTGCGTGGAGACCGTGACCGTCACAATGCGGCCCTTGTGCCCCCGGGGGCAACGGCGGCAGAGGAAACTAGAGTCGACACAGCTTCCTATCCCACTGCCCCCAGAGCTCTGTGGGCAATAACAAAGATGGCTGAATGCACGCTATAGTCCTCTTTGGCAGCAGCCTTCTGGCAAAGGTTAGAATACACAGGAAGGCTTGTTGTCCGCAGGGCTCAGTGATGGCTCATCACTGTACGCACTGTATGCTACAATATGCTGTTTGACAGCAGGAGCCAATATAGTGGCCAGCATGGGAATGTGACATTTTTATTCGTCAAATATGGTCACAAAAAAAAACAACAACAACAACAACAACAACAACAACAACAACAACAACAACAACAACAACATATTAATGCCACATCTATTCAGCCCTTGAGAGTAATTTTACTAAATGATTTCTCTTGTAACAGATTTTTTAAAATTAGTGTTTGTTCCAGCAACGTATTCTCATTTAACAGTTCGTATTGATATCCTACGAAAAATGCATGCACAACAGTTTGTATCACATCCTATGAATTTGTGCCCCATGAATGATATTAAGTCCTTAACGTACAGTTTTGTAATTAATGTAAAATTACAGAGGTTAGGTTTAGGAAAAGAAATATGTTCACAGGGATCTGAAAATGCAACTCCAGGGGGAAAGTACCTGGCAATAAGGGTGGGCAGATCAATCCTAAAATATCAATACTGTCATTCTCATTCAATCTTTTCATTTTGAAGATCGATCCTGGCCTCAGTAGGATCGATACCAAAATAAGGGACTTGTTTCTCTCCACTACATCGTACCTTTGTGCTTTGTCTGTGCAAACAACATTCCATTGTCTTGAATACATCTAGTGCATGCAATCTGTACTTCTCACTGCTTTTGTGACATCTGCACTCAATCAACCCGCTTAAGATCCAGCAGTGTCTTTTTGTTTCACGTTCACCCGATGTCGGCAGCAGGAGCATCGTAAGCCCAGCCCTCTTGTTTACTGCTGTGGGCTGAGGCGGACCCTCAATTGCGAATAGCATATCTGAGCCTGACTGGTTTTATCCAACACAGCAGTGATGACATAATGAAAGAGAAAAAAATCATGAAAGAGAACTTGGAGCTGCAACCGATAAGAAGCTGTGTTTCAATTCAGTGTGTGGGACCAGTCGAGCAGTAAATGATTCAGTGAACAAATCTTTTAAATGAACAGATCCTTTTGATGGCAAGTAGATATTCACTGTCCAGTGGAAAGTTCAGATAGAGATATTAGTGTGTAGCAAATGTGTTGCTTTAACCTAGCTAGCTAATGGTTAAGTAATGAATGACAAAGCGCTTTGTGTCTGAGATTGGGTTTGGGTCCTAAACTTAGGGTACCTTTCCACCAAAAACTTTAGGTATAGTACCTTCAGTACCAACAGTAACCCCTGTGAATATGTTCCTAGACCATAGATCCATTTAGCGTTTCCACAGCACACAGTCCTCTTAAATGTGGGCGGGGTTGTTGTCACTCATTGCTCCGTCCAATACTCGCTGTATTTCCTCATCAGCGGTGACACAGATGGGAGTCTGCACCTGGTTTATCGTCCACAGAACGAGGCTGCACGCCCACATTTTCACAACAAAATAGAACAGGCTGCAGTGAGAGTCTCTCTCCATGGGATATTTAAAAATAGCAGCTTTGTGCATTTAGTCCTTCTCAGGCAAGCTCAGGGGTTTAGTGTTGCTGGAGCCCACAGGAACGACGCTCTGCCATATTTTTTTCTCTAAGCGAGGATTAGTATATGTAAATCAATCAATCAATCAATCAATCAATCAATCAATCAATCAATCAATCAATCAAATCAACTTTATTGTCCTGAAGGAAATTTGTCTTCAGATAATATACATTTATAAAACTCTTGAAGATCCACTCATTACTAAAAGTGCATGTCATCCAAGAGAGACAATAAAAACTAATGGAAAGGTCAGAGTTGTCATATTGAAATTTAAGGTGTACTGATGGATTCACGTCGTCAACATTACTAGTAAACTTTCCACCTTAAAAGTTGCCTGCACTCAGCTCAGTGAGTTAAGTTAAACATCCTTTCATTGTATAGTTTTAGTTTACTAATGTATGTCAAATGTGCCACGGCATGAACAAGGGTCACATATAAGCTTCAAAACCAGGCACAACTCAGCCCTGAGCAGGAGTGATGGTTCTCTACTGACCAAGTTTTAAGTTAAGTTTAAGTTTATTTACTTTATTAATCCCCCTGAGGAGAAATTCAATGTTTTCACTCTTGCTTGTCAATTACACACAGGTCTGAAAGACACACACATGCACAAACAGGACCTATACATGCACAAAGTGGAGAGATGTCAGAGTGAGGGGGCTGCCCTTGGTGAGGCGCCCCGAGCGGTTGGGGGGTTCGGTGCCTTGCTCAAGGGCACCTCGGCAGTGCCCAAGAGGTGAACTGGCACCTCTCCAGCCACCAGTCCACGCTCCATATTTTGGTCCGGATGGGGACTCGAACAGGTGACCCTCCGGTTCCCAACCCAAGTCCCTATGGACTGAGCTACTGCCACCCCAATCAGCAGACTGCAGGGTTTCAGCTTCATCTTTTAGTATCGGATCAGTGTGTTGGTACCCCAACAGAGGGGAGACAAAAATTGGGATGTTCTATTGGTACAATCCACAACTTTTCACAATGGAAACATAAAAAAAAATGTGAACCAAACTGAACTGAACTGAACAGGGTTAAAGATGCAGGTACAGGCTTATTCAGGTCTATAAAATCACTGATTGAAGTGTGGCCAAAAGCCTAACAAGCATAAAACATTTAAAGCATTGGAAGCAGAGCAGTTTCTCTTTTCTACATTACTGATTTTACAAATAAAGATCAGTTGAATGGTCGTGGGGACAACTACAAACTCAGCACAACTGCCCGTTTCACAATAGAGGAAACAGAGACAAAGACGACATGTCAGACCTTCATATGGTCATCAGCATCTGGAGCAGAGAGGACAACAATCCTGTTTACACACTGTGGACCACAGACTGGACCATATGACCAGAGTGAGGAGAGAGGGGGGGTGAGAGTGAGAGTGAGATGAACTGCGTATGACGGCTGAACATTCAGGGCAGGGACAGAGGAGCTGACAGGGATGAACAGCAGCTTCTTCCTCCTGAAGCTATGAGTTACCCTGGAGTTCAGACACTTTGAAAACATCATGTGGGACAACACAGGAGGATGAGCGGACATCTGCATCTTCCCAGCGTCACAGGTTTCAACTACGTTTCTTCCTTCATCACTGCTGATTTCAGACTAAAGAGTTTGTGAGTAACAAGCTGACTTGGAATTTGCCGGACCATAGAATACAACAAGTGCTTGAAACTTAGGATTATTTGTCAGATTTACTGCAGTTTCACCTCACTGTTTTATCGTCAGGTGGTGTGTGAGAACAAAGTGTGTTTGGTTTTGTGCACCAAAGACTGAATTTTAGTGAGAACTCTGTGCTGTTTTCTAATGAACTGCAGGAACTAAAAGAGCAACAGTCTTCATGATGAACTGTGCTGTGATTCTTCTAATAACATCAAGCTGCTTCACCTGGTCTTCAGCTCTATACAGCCCGCACAGAGCAGGTACAGTCATTAATGTGGATGAGGTTTTCCTTCATGTCTGTCTAATGAATGAATGATGGCAAAGGAAGTCTCTCTGATCATCTAACTGCTCCGCCCACATCCTTACAACAAAGTGTGTGTCCAATCATTTTTTTTATTTTCTGAAACCAACACACACCTGCTTTACACAGCGTTTGGACAGGGGTGTGAAAGTGTGAACCTCTTACTCGTGTTCTTTTTTCAATTCTTGACACAGTTCCCATCATTTCAGCTTGTTCTCAATCCCAACTAATTAAATACTGTCACTTTGTAATTTTGGCATCAGACACCGACCCACAGAGGCACCTATGCCACAGTATGATGTGCAGCAGGCAGCAGCAGTTGTTAACGCAGCAGGCAACGACCAAACTCACAGGAGCCCTGCGTGAAACCAAAAGTCAATGAGTTATTTTAATAACAACGTAGTGTGCTGGGGCACCCAGTGGCATCCCACGTGCAGAGGCAGCATCCTTGCTGCAGCGGTGATGGGTTTAATTCCGGCCTGCGTCCCTTTGCTGCGTGTCATCTCCTTTCTCTCCCTCTTTCACACTTGATGCTGTCCGATCGATAAAAAGGCAAAAAGCCCAAAAAAGTAATCTTTTAGAAAAGTTAAAAACGTAGTGTGCTAGAAGGCGTTGCATGCGATGGTAGTCATGTATATCACATGACGTATGTCACATGTTCACATGATGTTGGTAACAACCATATTTATTTTAAGTCAAGCCATGATTTCTTCTTTCTAAACCAAACCATGTGCTTTTTTGCAGAAACTTAAGGATATAAATTTAAAGTGTTTTACATACATTACATTGTTAAAAAAGACTGAAGGCATGTAATGAGCAGAAACTACATGTCCTGTCAAAACAGAAGTGTTTTGAAGAGAGACATTGCATGTAACACATGTAACAAGTGTAAACTGACATGCCATCCCTGAGCACAGACACAGGAAGGTGTCATACTTTCACATGTAGCTCCGACAAAGCGTCAGTATTTGATGAGTTGGTATGAGAACACATTTTGAATATGGCACTCTCGTGAGTGGCCTTCAAGGACAGATGGTCTGACATTGTGCACAGTTATTACCATTTGTTTGTCATCTTTAGACTACAAAGACACTCTAAAGACGCTGGCAACGCATCAGTAGCAGACATCCAGGCATCTTTCAGATGTCGGCCTGCTAAGACATTTCTTCTTCTGATGCTTTAATACTATATAGTGGCTGATTGAGAGATTAAATACTTGAAAGGTAAATTCAAGGCAGTAAAGTGTTGCTGAACTGCTCCATATGAGTCCACACTAACACATGTTGGATGGCTGCTCTTCAACAGAGCGCTGGTGTGAGCCAGGTGCATATATACTGCTGGACTAATCAGGGGAATGTGGAGCAGGTGAGTTAGTGGGCGGAGACGGTCAGGTGAGGGGAAGGAGCTAAGTGGCTGGAATTGTAATGACATGAAGAGTTATGCCCACCATTTACTGGAAGAGTTTGAAAAGACTTTGAAAAGACTTCAGTGTGACACGCCCTCATGTGAGTTTGTAAGATTTGCAAAGGCGGAGGATCTTGCAGAGTCACCATATTCAAGACTACAACTACTGTGGATTCCAATGCCCACACTACCATAGGCTGCTATATAGTGTGCCAGAAAAAGATTTAGTATGTCCCAATACATAGTATGTCAAATGCAGTATGCCAAAAATATCAGGATGTTCTTTACAGCCCATTGACAGCCGTCAGAAGTCACAATGACACATGAGAGCATTAAAGTAACTGGTGACCAGTAGAATAGTAATAATAGGAATGTTAATTAATTAAACAAATGATCTTAAATATAATCCAAATCAAAGAGGTAAAAGTATTAAATAACAATCACAGAGACATGCAAATGTAATCTCACTGTCATTCATATAATATGTTAGAATCTACAATATATGGAGTTATAACTTATTGCAGTTTAATTTATAACCTGGATCCCGTTTCACCAGCAGCGTCCAAGAAGCTCAAGTACCTCCTCGAGCCGCCTGTGTACGCCGAGGTCGTCGCCCAAAGGGGAGAAAACGTCACCTTGCCATGTATCCTGAGAACCAAACCCAGCCATTACAAAGTGAAATGGACAAAGCTGGAGCCAGAACACATGGGGCAAGAGAACATTATCATGATATCAAACGCACATGCCCACAAGCCATACGGCCATCTCGGCCCGCGGGCTTCTCTCCGGAAGGCTCACACCATGGACGCCTCCCTGCAGCTCAGCCGCCTTGAGCTGGAAGATGGCGGCACGTATCGCTGTGAGCTTGTCAACGGCATCGAGGACGAAAGTGTCGTCATTACTTTGAGGATTGAAGGTTAGTGAAGCGATAATGAGCGCAGTGTTTTCTCAAAATGTTCATATAAAGGAATGTACCAGGTGTCTCTTGTGCAAATGAAGGAGAACATGCGACAAAATTAACCACTAAATTAGCACCTCTACTGGTGACAGGATATCAACACGTCCTCATACCTAAATGACAGGATAAGCTGTATGTGACCATTAACTGTTGCAGTTTTAAACACATGGCTAACGTTTTAGTTTTAAGCAGCAAAACTACTTTGATATAGTGTGCTGCAGGAGTCCTGGTTCCCTTGTCTCCAAGTCAGTGGGTTTTTGGTTAGATACTATCTGAAATAAGGTCTCTGGTTAACAAAAGCTGAAGAGACTTTCATGTTTTGTTCTACGACATAAAATATGTCAGTAAATACCACATTGAGAGTTTTGAAGCTCTTATGTGCTGACAAGTGGCTAAATGAGACTACAAATCATCACGCATATCAGTCTCGCTGTGTTAGGGATATTCAGTCATGCGACTGAAGCGTAGTTCCTTTATAGCCTAACGTTAGCTTTTTACTTCTGGCGACTGCATGGAGGCTTCACACATCATCAAAGTGGTGTTCATTTGTGAAGATTATTGTGCGTTTTTGACGAGGGAACCAGGGTGATGCTAACTTCTGTGTTAGCCTGCAGAAAAATATCATTCCTTGAGTACTCAACACCCTTTTCCACACAAATTAGCTTGCACATGGAAGTTTTTTAAGTGTGGGAAAACTAGTTAAAAATAGACAATAGACTCCTTTCCCATTGCCAATTAACCACAGCCATGTGCACAGCTCTGCAGCAGATGTGTATGCCTTTGTATGTTTTTTTTGTTTGTTTGTTTTGTTTTTTGTTGGTGTGTCATGTTTAACGTTGGAAAAGAAGTTAGTAAACAGTAGAATGCAGCACAAGGGCCAGTGAAAATGCTGTGGTGGTAACTTCTTTTTCTGTTTCTCTTTCAAACTGAGTGCAGACAAAATTTCGAACGATGTTGAAGCACTGCTTGAACTGAGACACACGGTATTTTGTTGTGGCCCCGGAATTAAATCAATTCAGCAAAGGGGCTAAAATTAGTGCATATAAACTGTGCTTTTATTTCCATCAAAGCCAATTGGAGCTGGTGAATACCTGTTAATACTGCAGTCATTTGTCCCAGGAGTGAATACAGATTGTAACCTTTCCATTAAATACAAAACCCAGATGGTAATAGGTGTTGGTTTGAGCTTTAGGTTTAGAAAAAGTCTGGTGACCTGTCCAGGGTGTACCCTGCCTTTCACCCAATGTTAGCTGGGATAGGCTCCAGCTCACCTGCGACCCTCAAGAGGATAAGCGGCTACGAAATTGGATGGATGGATGGAAGTTAATTAGTATGTCATGTGGCCTATGTCCTGTGTTTGTTTGAACCATATGTCCACACACAACACCTCCCTATGCAGACTTCTACCCAACTTCCTCCTTTGCTCCTGCCATTCTCAATATGTAGGTTGCCACTTAACAATAAACATTAATGTGAGTCCTGATAAGCTGCTTGTACAAATGAGCTACGTGGGCATATTTTGAGAGGAACAGGGGCGGGGATTTATAGGGTTAGAGGGTTTATAGTTAATAGATAGATAATCACACTATTGATGAAAGAGGATTTATGGGATACAGTATTCGGAGGAAAATCTTGCTGCTCACAGCAGTCTTTTCTTTGTCTCATCAGAAATAAATCAGCTTCTTATTTGGAGATGACTAAATTCAAATCTGTTTCTTCTAAACCCCCGTTCAGGAGAAATCAGGAGCAAAAGAATAAATCAGCAGGAGTTCTTCAGGCTTCTCGGAGGTTTCTCAGCTCTGAGAACAGTTCATACACAGAGTTGAGACTTGAATCTGATCATTGAGACAAATTTCTGGATTGTGCAGGATCATTTATAAGCCGATCAAGTTGTCTTTTGGATCTCACTGTTATCTCTGGAGCTGATAATTTGAAAGGGGAAAAGTGCATTTTAAGATCCTAAGTTAGGCTCAGGCTGAGACAAGAGGAAGACTGTTTATCAGGAGCTGAATTTAATAAGCATGAGAAAATGGTCAAAATCTCATATTGATGTTATACTGAGCTCAGTTAGGCTGGCACAAGACGAATCTTATTGTGAGTTTTCCTCTCCTCTGGCTACTTGTGTAAAAACGGAAACACTGACAAATCCCTCTATCTCCAGGTGTGGTGTTCCCATATCAGAGCAAAAGTGGCCGCTACAGATTCACCTTCCGTGAGGCTAAGGAGGCTTGTGCCGAGCAAGATGGCACATTAGCTTCCTACAACCAGCTGTACAGAGGTACCACATACTGTCAAACCAGTAATAAGATGTCTGCAGGTATATCAGCTCTCTAAAATCAGCATGTCTCCTCCCGCAGCATGGACGGAGGGTCTGGACTGGTGTAATGCCGGTTGGCTCAGCGATGGGACCGTTCACTACCCCATCATTCATCCTCGTCCTGCCTGTGGAGGGGAGCTGCAACCCGGCATTCGCACTTATGGACCAAAAGATAAAAATATTGATCGCTTAGATGCCTTCTGCTTCACCTCCCAGACATCTGGTAAGCTGTGAGGGGATCGACTCGGATCAACGTTTTGTCTGATTTACTGACAGAAAGCTGGAAGCAAACTGGAGTTTCACTTTGTCCAAGGAAAAGTTGCTCCGGATCTTAGAGGAGAATATAAGAAATAGAAATGTAAATGCTCATAAAACTCTTATTTTAATCTTAGTATTTTTGTCAGTTACAGGCTGGGTCTCCTCATATTAGCTGCTGCTCGGCCCTGTTTGGTTCATAGTGAGATTTCCACATAGAAACAGTTTGTTTCCTCTTGTAGTGTTGCTGAATATCAACTTTGTGTGGCAACAAGCTGACCTTTAGCAGCTACAGTGTGAGAGTGGGACTGATAGTAGGCTGACAGAACAATAAAAATCTGTTGGTGAGACTGGTGGGTGCAAAGCAGATGGAAAGAACACAAATGCAGACAGTCCAGTCAGAGAGGAGGAGTTCAGGGATTTATTAGTAGACAGATGATTCATCAGCTTACAGGCAGGCAGCAGATAGAGGCTCGGGTTAATGTACAGGTTCAGATGGTGAGAATCAAAGTGCATAGCAAGACTGACTGGGAGAAGGGGACTGATTGGGGAAATGGGAGGCAGGTGAGCATGTGGAAGGGGAAGGTCTGCTAATGGGAATGGCAGGGAAGGTGTTGCTGCAGGGCTGATGAGGGAATGTGGAAACAGGTTTGCAGGTGAATGAGAGTCAGGTGAGTGGGACCTGTGGCAAATGGTCTGAGGGCATCTGGTGGACAGGTAGAGAACAGCAAAGAGGGGGCCGCCTGGGGAAGTGGCTGGTAGGAGGGACAGAGAGGCAGAGTGGGAGAGAACTGATTCTGAAAAAGAATATTCCTACGAAGCTGTGTACATTGCTAATGGAAATGAAAATTCCACTAATATTTAGTTTACACGCAAATGTGCGATTACCATGTTGTTTATCATGTCAACATATAGAGAGGTAGATCGCCTGTTGCCTTTCCTGATATCAGACAGTTGTCAAGTCATTGCTCAGTTTCTGTCTTTAGTCTGACATTGCATCGACTCGGATTTCTTTGGGGAGGGGGATTCCATTTTCCCTAACCAATCACCTGAGACGAACATCCAACTGAATCTAATGTCCTTTTAACTGCACGCTGATGCGTAGCCATGCTAACAGTCTATGATGTCTGGCGAGATTTAGAAAACATGTCAACTAACAGGAGCCTCCATAGTAAGTCACGCCCCTTCCGGTAGACCCCCATCGGACCTCTAGACTCGGAAAATATGAATGGGAGTCAATGGAGAGAAAATTATTATTTTCTGGTCCCAGTCATGAAATGCCTTGGATTACACAAATGTTTTGTGTGGGTCTGAATAATATTTTTTCATGTTAAGAGTTTGACAGTTTATTGTACGATTCTTCAGTTAAAGGCTGTGGAAACAATGTAATGAGAAAGACTACATGTCGCCTATGTGACGTCACGTCATCACACTTCCCCTCCACTTCTCAACTCACAGTGCTGCTGCTGCGTCTTCTGCCACGATCTACGGAGCCATCAGATCAAGATGCCGGTGTGTTTCGTACCCCAATGTCACCATTCCAACAAGAACAGCTGTTCTTTCTTTCGATTCCCGTCTGATGTTAAAACTCATCTTGTCTACTGGCATTGACAACGCCGACCATCTCCCCACTGGCGTAGCTGAAAGTTTCCACATGTCCAGACTTGTATTGGTTTTCGCCACGCTTAAGGCTTTTGTCCTCTCCTTGAAAGAAGGTGATGAAGTGTACCAGAGACACAGCCATGTTCCGAGTGCGAGTGGTGACGTATATCATATGTGTCGAGAGCAGCGAAGAGCTGTAGTCCGCAAAGCGTTCTCACACAAAACCTAACAGTTTCAAACTTCTTCCCGCTAAACTGTAGCCTTCTTTGCACGAAAAAATATATTAAAAATTCACAAACAACATATGTGAAATTCGTGGCACAATTCAAACGGGACCAGAAAATAATTTTCATCTAGCCATTGGACTACATTATGAGAAATCGATTTTTAAGGTCCCATGTACCGGAAACGGAAACACACAACTTACGAGTTCTATAGCAGCATCTGTCTTGACTATTGTGCTCGCCATCATCATTACTCCTCATTGGTTCCAGACAGTGCGCAGCTTGACAACACCTGACAATGGCATTAGTGCTGCCCATGACGCTGATCTGCTAATTGAGTCCCACCAAGGCATTCATTGGTTATTTTTCAATTTTAAGTAAGGAACCGCTGATCAACTCTGGCTGACAGTGTCATCTGCAACTGAGCTGGTCAAATCACCGGCAGCTGGTTTTATAGCACGTCACCTGTTTCAACAACCAATCAGCTTGTAATGAAGTATGCTGGTCAAGTCAAAATGACCACAGCTGGCGTGATTGCTTGCTGTGGCAGGTGCTCCATCCCCGCCAAGTCCTCTGTTTACGTCCTGACGTGTAACAGGGTCATGCGGTGGGTCACTGTTGCTGCTCGTTGTATGTGCTTATGCCCCCTGGGCTTAACTCCTTGGAGTGGGTGGATTCAAAGGTCTGGGCCCAGTGGTGGACATATTGGACCATGTGAACACAGCCTCCATCTTTCATTCAGTCAACCACCTTCTTGCAAAATGTGCATATATCCAAAAACCTGTTGATATCCAACAGTGTTGGCTTTTCTTTTTGACCCTTGCAAACTTAGTGAGTTGGTTTGTGTACAGTGCATCCATGACAACACAAAGAGCTGACCGTATAAAAGGCAAGAGGCAGTATGTCGCAATGTTTAGTAAAATCCCCAATTGAGATGGATACTCCTAAAGTGCTGTATACATGTCGGAAGAATTGCTCCTAAAACCCAAATAATTTGAGCACATTCCACATCTTGGAAAATGCTTAATTCCAGAAAAGGCCTAATTTGGAAAGTCCAAACAGAAAATGTTGTACATGACCCATATCAATCCAGAATATTGTCATATTTTGGATAGTAGTGGAATATTACTGTGTGCATATAAGCATATCTCATATCCCTCTCCTCCTCTCACAGGCTCTGTCTACTACCTGTCAGGGTCTTTCTCCTTCGAGCAGGCAGGACACGCGTGTCAACGTCAGGGAGCTGAGCTAGCGTTGGTCGGCCAGCTTTACTCGGCCTGGCATTTCAAAAAGTACGACCAGTGTGACGGCGGATGGCTGAGAGACGGCAGTGTACGGTTTCCCATCAGCAACCCCAGGGAGCACTGTGGCGGCATCCCTGAAGCGGGGGTGCGCTCATTTGGATTCCCCAAAAAGACGACGCATCTGTATGGTGCCTATTGCTACAGGTAGTCCTAAACAAAAACAACTTACGTGAGTGTCTCAACAGAGCTGAGAGTCGGAGCAAAACGCCTGAGTGGCCCAGAATCCACTGCACAGTATTCACAGCTTGATCCACCAACGGATAGTCCTGAACAAGAAACCTCCCATCTGAAGCCGCAGGCAATTACTGACAGTAGAATTATAGGGTTATATTTGAAATCAAATATCTTTAAATTAGTCACATAATTTAGACTAATTTCTAAAACAAAGACCCCATTTCTATCTGACTTGGTAGATGCATAGAATATATAGGACTAAAACATGGGGTTGATTTTGGCTTATTTCATATGAGACAACAACAAATTTACATCAAACTGAGATATAGAGACAAGCGACACATCTCTACTTATGCCCACTGTACAAAAGTAAAGCCAAAATATCCTGGATACAGCTGCTGACATTTTGCGCTAGTCATTTGGAGCTAGAGTCTGAGCAGGAGCAGTCTGCTTCTACAGTAGGACCCAACTTGGAAGGACCTTACCTATCAAGGAATCATCCTTGACTTTGAGAAGTATCAAGACTCTGTGCAGTAGCAATCTGCTCCCACCCATAAATCCGTCCAACCAATTGTGAGCAGCACCACTGATCACGAGCACAATGATTGGTATGTGTAGCTGTCCGTCATGACGTCAAACCCTCTTTTTATTGCATCAAATTACTAATTAAAGCCAAACTAAAATGACAGGAACCATCTTTGGGAAAAATATATTTATCCTGCACTCTGAGGGCCGAATTCACAAAGAATGAACTGCGGCTGCTGATAGCACCTTGAATTGCACTTCATTTGCACCCGCCATCTTAACGTCCTATTCACAAAGGATATTGTGCTAATGATATACCAGCGCAAACACACCCACAAAGTTTGGCAGCTGAGTGCAGTTTGCCCCTGATTTGCCCCTGATTGCAATTAGCCACATGGCAAAGTATAAATGCTGGCTTTGCGCCAAGAACACCGTGGCAGAACAATGGCAGACTTTGTTTGGCAAAGTACTGAATACTGTATACCCTCATGTAGTGATGTCTGCTGGTGAGTCAGTCTAACAGTGTCGGATGGGTTGAGGCTGTGGATTTGACCAAGTTTGACCACTTTATCACTATTCCCTCTCACTTGTAGCTGTTTTTTTGTTATCTTTTGAATTTAATATGAATTATGGAACTGTTTTTGTTCACGTTTGTTTCCCCCGTTTCGTAAAATAAATTATTTAAAGTTGCTTTTGAGGTGCGTGACAGAAGTGCGTTTTGAGAACGACTGCAGACTGTCACCTGTTCAACGCATCAGTATCTTCGGATGCCATTAAAGTAATAATGATTATAATAATAATGTCAAAATATTATTTACAGACTGATTTAACAGACGATCACTGCTGCCAAGATCACTGCTGGGCAAGAGGCTTCCACAGAGGAGCGCCCAGTTTGCACCAGCTTTCTAAAGACATTATTTACTTCACTCAAACTGCATGTGGCTGTTAGCGCTGGTGTTAGTGAATTAGACATTGTTTATCAATGAGGCTCATTTGCATAGAAATGGGCAATTTTTCCGCCAAATATATGCATATTACCTCATTTAAATACGTGCAAATAACACCGGAGCACCGAGACGCAATCTGCTTGGCAGCGCAGTTAGTGGAGCATTGCACCCTCTGCGCGTGCTTTGTGAATTAGACGCTATCTGTTTGCGCCATTTTTACCGGTTTAGCGGCCACAAAAGCCACGCAATCGTTTTGTGAATTCGGCCCTGAGTTTCTGGTTTGGTTCATGTCCCATCCGCTAACATGGAGGGGAGGAGTTTATGACCTACTGCAGTCAGCCACCAGGGGGCGATCAACATGTTTTGGCTTCACTTTTGGAAAGCTCTCATGTCGTCCATCTTTATATACAGTCTATGTCAAAGTTTTTTTCTCAAGGATACTTGCAGTTTGTCTAGCATGCCGACATGCTGGTAATTTGGTTCTGGCTGGTAAACCACTATTTCTACTTCCCCTGTCAGTCTCTTAAAATTAATAATCATTTATGAAATAATTGTTGGTTTACCGTTGTTTATTTTGGGGGCACGTACCACTTTGACTAATGGGAGCATTGGCAGTATGGCAGAGAAAAACAAATGTCATATACACACAATCATCTTGCACTAAACCTGTAATAACATCTTGACTTTCTGTCACTGTCACTGAAGATAAATGAAACGTTTGGTTAATGTTGGGTCGATCACTGCACCTGTTGGCATATCCATTTAACACGAGACTGAATTGCTTCCTGTGAGCTCATTCAAAGAAGCTAAAACTCTCAACTGTAAATAACACTGTTGTTTACTTTAAGGATGAACTGGTTTATCTGTAAATTAATTACATGTGATGTGATTTATTCAATAAAGATACGTTCACATGTCAGTGTATTAATTTGCCAATAAATTATTTGTGCATTGTTTAAAGGTGCAGCATGTGCAGCTCTCCTCTGCTCACCCCTTGCTTACATGTTATTATGGATTTAAATTATTAGACATTTTAGGCTACTGTTAATTAGGAGTCATATGATCATGATACATATTACAAGTAGATTTTTACAAACATTTTTAATGTGTTAATTTGTACACGGTTAAATCAACAGACATTTAACAACAGTGAAAATTTAGGCTACAGTGTATTTCTCTCATTGGATCAACTTTTACTTTATTATCTCTACTTGTACATTTATTATGTGTTCATTAGATTAACAATTAACATCACCTGCATTGTTACAGTGTCTATTACAGTACCTCTGTAAAAACTAGAAAAGATACAGTAGATGAGATATTGTTGCATCATTGAAACATTTGTTTTTCCAGATTGATCCCCGAAGATCAGCCATCAGCTCTGAGCCAGTATAAAGACATCTAGATACATTTAAAATTAAACTGATTAGGAGACTGTGTGCTAAATACACTTCTGGCCAAACACAGATACAGTACGGTTCATATCAGCAAACCATACAACAGACACACCCGAATAAAAAGCACCAGAGGACGAGCAGTTTGCACTCTTCATAAAGATGTCACGTGTGCACACAGAAAGTCAGGTGGTGTTTCAGCGCTGTGTCGGTGAAATCTCATTCATTTCTCTATCTGTTCTTTCTCTTTAAGTAAATAAAAATAATATTCAAAAGGACTGAGGGAGAGGATGCAGCCTATTTTTCAGCACATCTGTATTTTGAGAAAACACTTTATCTGCTCACGTTAAAAAAACAATAAAGATATTGACCTGAAACACAGTGGGACTGCAGGCCAAAAGAAAAGCATTGATTCACATTCACTGGGATGGCCAAGGTTCAGTCTGATTGCCTGTATTGACCTCAGGTGTGATCTCTGATCACTGGCAGGAATCTCCTCCACATGCTGGTGACTCATTAGGTGTCAATTAACAGAGTGAGTGAGCTTGAGTGCTACGTACAAGATACTCAGAAGCCATTTCCCCCTGGCATTAATATTTAACCTGTACATGGATGTATTATATGAAAATAAAATACATGTTTATTCATGTGTTAATCTGCCTACATGATTTGCAAAATCAAAATAACTACAATACAGTTAATACCAGGTGTAAAACCAAAGGCATGTGATCAGATGTCCTTATCCAGATAACGTATCCAGGTACAGATGACGTTTATACCAGGTGGACATTTATGTCAAAGTTGCAATTAATTGAAAAACATGATTTCTGTGTTAAAAAGTCCACAAAGTTTCTACACCCTGTGCAGCTGCATCATATCACACCGTAAATAGTGCTTTTCCTCCAGCCTAATCGTCAGCATAAAATGTTGGCACTGTACATTTCTGTGAACCATAAATACGTTATGTTTGTACATTTCATACGTATCATATAAATGTTAAAGGTGACGTAGTTCTATTAATATTAACATGAGCTAACTTTGTCATTAGGAGGTGGAGAGAATGGTGGATGGCTTGACAACTAGGAGAAGCACCTGAAAAGCTGCAGACTGCTGTTTGAAACCAACAAACGACCAATCGGTTATGTTTTAGAAAGTCATTGCTGTTTTACCAGCTGTTTTTAAGCCACCAAACATGTTTTAACAACCTGTTCCTGTTTTTCCACCATTGCTGCATCTCCTGCTACTAGTATTGCGATTTTCAATATGTTGCAATATGCTGAGTATTGCAATAAAATCTATTGCGATATATTGTGATTTATCACCTTTTTCCAACTGTAAGTTACGTCCCCAAAGGAAAAACATTGTCAACATCTGTTTTATCTCATAAGATAAGGGTTTTAGTCTGTTCATCTCACCTCAGCCATTTTTTGCAGCAGCTAAACGCATCTAGTTCACTGAATAGTGTAAATCTGTATACTAGTGTAATTTGTTTTGTACAGTTTAGTGATATTTCTTATTCATAGTTTCTTTTTATCATATTTCTATAGCTGTTGTTTTGCTGCCTTGTATTCAACTTATACCTTTATTGCACTGACTCTGAGAGCTGCTACCTCAATTCTGTTGTACTCGTACAATGACAATAAAGAGATTTTGGTTCTGATTCTGAAAAAGCAGTTGATTATATTATTTTAGTAGGCTACCTTAAGTTTAACTTGTATTTGTAATATTAATAATTCATATAATAAAACATGTGGCTCTGGCACTGTGTGACGATATGATATCCCCACACAAAAATATCGCAATACTACCCTGCATTGATTCCCCCACCCCTAATAACCAAGTGTTTTTTGTGCCTAAACCTGACCACACATTAACCACAGTGTTGTTGAAACTTAAAGAAATGTCAAGTTTCAGTGTATCTGATACATAATAGTTTTAAAATGTAACGTATCTGTGGTTTGCAGAAACATTCAATGCCAACATTTATTCTGATGATTGGGTTGTTTGCTCCATACAAATTCTGTGGGTGCAGTTTTTTCCTACAGTAGACTGTACATACATGTCAGAGGTTCAACACACATTTAAGGTATGCTAAGCAGCAGAGACTCTTTTTTATTTTGCTGTTGCATACAGGTGAGGTCGGGATTTTTTTAAAAGGCAGAAACAAGGTGTCAGAACATAAGCAGCACACATCCAAGAGGAAGCCACAAAAATCACAGACACAGCGCTGAAACAAAAGCAAATATAGTGAGGCGAAACACAAAGCAGACAGAGCTCGTTCCAAAATAAAGTGAGCCTGGGTTTGGCTGCTTTCACTTTCACTGGTGAGCACTGAAGGAGACGATGAAGAGCAACGAGTTAGCCTGTTATCTGCTGGACACGTAGGTGTTTAGCTAGTTTGCTTAAGTATCAGCTTTTCTATTACAACAAATGTCATGTTCCTATGATGGTACAGTAGCAGCGCAGGGAGGAGGGGCCAAGTTTGATTGTTGTGTTAAGAGGCTACCCAACAATTCCTGCAGAGTAAACTTTAACATGACCACATTTATTTAAAGACTTCAGCAGTCTGTGGGGAAATAAAGAGTATCAGAGAGTCACTGCAGCAGCAGCTCTCAGCACTGATGCAAACCTACTAGAAAGAAGGAATCTTCCAGACTGCACGTACAACAGTCTTTAGTGAATTTCAGATCAACTGATGCTAAAAATTAAACTGCAAACTATTGTGAACAGCAGTCTGTTAAATGCAGCATGTACGGCACCAGCAGTCAAATTTATGAATTCAGCATTGTCATAGAGCAGGTTCATTTTCACTTCTGCAATATCCACTTTAAAAACAGTTTAATTACAAAATGGCTGCTGATGATGAGAGTAAAGCACACCACATGTGAATAAAGAAAGGATGCTCCAGAATTATATTTGTTTTTAAATTCTCGTGAATCCCTCGGTTGGGTCATAATCCTTCCTATCACCTAACTGGTGCTTGGTTTATGTAATATTTAATTTGGCTTATTTAGGCCAGAGATATACCTGCTTTTAACTCTGTGTTCATGTGTGCTTGATGGCTGCCTCGCGTATCCTGTGTCCATTTGTAGCGTTGTTTGTGCACGTCCTCAGAAATTAACGCAAGGCGTCCACAAGATGCAAGACATGCATGAACATTAGAGGCAGTGTTGGCAGAATGAGAGAAATATACCTGCCACTGTCACCTTGTGCTTGATAGCTACATACCATCTATGCCAGGGGTAGGCAACTTTGGCTCTGAATTGGAAAACAAATTCAACTAAAATATGTGTCATACGTCTATATCCTGGCACCTTTTCCTCCAAATTTTGCCTCCAAGCTAGGCTAGCAATGGACTCCAAATCCATAAAAGTAAAAGTCTCGGAGGAAAATAAATAATTTAATAGTGCATGGACAGATTTGTTTGCTTTTACTGCCAATGCTGCGATGTTAAAATACCAAATAATCATAAATAGCCCACAGCAGAAGAGCCATCTTGTGGTAAAACATTTCCGAATGCTCATTTAGACCTATTTTTTATGTTGATATGCTAATTTAGACTTAATATGCAGTGTTACCACTAGGCTCAAATATGTTCTGTGGCTCCAGGCCGATTTGTTTTTAATTATTTTTGGTCAAAATGGCTCTTTTGATACTTGAGAGTGCTGACCCCTGATGTGCGCTCACCCGGCTGTTGTTTTGTCTTTTTACACGGTGATCTAAAGGCCCTGACACACCAAGCCGTCGGTCAAAGTCGCCCTAGTTTTTGCGGTGTGTCCCGCACCGTCAGCACTTAGGCATTGGCGTTGGCGGCTTTTCCACCAATTGAGCACGTTGAATCGCCGGCGGAGCTTGTCAGTGAGAGAGATCACTCTGATTGGCTGTTCAGGTTTTATTTCCTCGCCCCTGTAGCGAGTGAATCTGCCTGTAGTGAAACCGGGGCTAACCGGTGCTTCCTCCTCAGGCTCCACTTCACTCAGCTGCCCCACAGACCCGCTGCTTCTTCCCACTTTAACCTGAATAACAAACTGGAGCTAGCTGGGAGCGGCTAGCGGAGCGTTAGCCGCAGCATGACCGGAGGGAAGCACAGCCAGTTAGCCTCCACTAGTCTCTGAGCTAGCCCCGGCTCTCCGTTTGGATCCAACCGGAGCACCGAGCCCTGGTTTGTTATTCAGGTTAAAGTGGGAAGAAGCAGCGTGTTTATCGGGCAGCTGAGTGAAGTGGAGCCTGCGGAGGAAACACCGGGACCGTCTGGATGTCATAGTCCGTGGAGATGCTGCGGTGCTCGGCTGCACAGATAGGAAACCCTTCGGCTGTACCACTCTGTCACTCCGCTACTCTGTTTATCTCATGCATTCCTCAGACTTCCGGGTTCCCTTTTTGCGTTATTTCCTCTCACACAGGAGCAGAACGTACGTGCTACTTGGCCGTCGGATGTAGTCTTTGTAGTGTGTTCAAATGCAACTGACACAGGGCGACGTGAGGAGACGTAGACGACGCAACAGTTGGCTTTCGTCGCCGCTAGATCTTTGATGTCGGTTTGGTGTGTCCACACCTTAAGTATAAACAATTAATCATGTGCTCCATTCACACTGGGAAGTCGCAATTTCTGAGTTCCCAGTTGGAATTTTCAACTGAAACACCCCCTGAAGTCAGATTTCTGACTCGGAACGTCAGAGGAACCTCACATGCCCTGACCTCAAAATTTAAAGATGGCTGCTCAATATATAAACAGCAGTGAAAGCTGTAATAATATACTGTTCATTAGCACTTCGGTCTTATTTGTCTCACACAGAGTCCTGCCAAGCTTGTATGTGTGGACATGCTGCTGTGGTGTTTGTGCAAAACACACTCGCTAACAGTGGCTTACCTGGCTAAAACGGGTATGGCTAACAACATCTTAGATTTTCCGACTTGTTGTCTCTGGAACGTGGTCAACTCACGTGACGTCATTCCTTGCTCTAACCTCCAACTTCTGAGGTAAATCTAACACAGCAATAGTGACCTCTTCGACTGTCACCATGTATGTTGTTTACATCATGCAAATCCAAAAGTTTTACACAGTCTGAGTTCTCTGGTGCCCTCTAGTGGAATCCTCCAGTAACATGCCCAGTGCATAGACGAGTATGTGAAAAATTCTATGTGAACGCGTGGTTAAAAGCAAGTATATCTCCGGCATATGCGTAACAGAGACTGATAACATGTGCATTAATGTGATTAACTCATATGTTCAGCCTGATTAGAACTGTATCTGACATTTTAACGTATTCTGATGCTGATAACTGACTCTGCAAAGAAATAAGGGAACTTACGTGTTCATAATCATTTTGTTAATTAAATTCCAGGATGTTTTTATGACCGTCTCATATCAAAGGTGTCTCCTGTATGAATGTTGTCCTTCTGTGTGAACGTCAAAAGATAATAGAGGATTTGACCAACTGTCCAGAGCTGAAAACACAAATTAACAATTAGAAGGTCTTTAAATAAAAAAGGGGGAGATGGATGTTGAATCAAAGTGTCTGATATAAATTTGCTGTTTTGAACAGTGTGGAGGATCCGCTCTTATCTCTTCATACGACTGTTTTATAAGATATGTTGGATGGCCTTTTTTTCAGGGATCTCGGGATCAAGAAACATTCAGGCTTGGAGTGTTTTTTTAATGTGGCCAAATTTGCTTTAAGTTTCTGTAACATTCTTTACCTAAAGAACACATGTTTGGATTTCAAGTTTTCCAGATTTTCCATGACTGTAAGATCTGCGGCCTTGACGTGAAGTTAAGATGAAAGATTAGATTCGTACACTTTAACACAGACTGGACAGGAAAGTCTTTGAGACACAAGAAAACGGGGAAACCAGGAGATGAAATATTGTTTTGTAAAAAAAGGCAGGATGGCTTCAGACATTCCACTTAATGTCCCAGAACAGCGGAGCTGCTTTCTCTGTGGCTGATCCCATCACCTCCAGAGCCTCCATGACTGCCTCGTGCTGGGAGGGAAGTGAGGTAACTGGGTCTTCTTCCATCGACGGGGCTGAGGATGGGAGACAAACAGAAAAGTAAAGGATCACAGCCTCAAAGTTTTATGAGTTTTTGTTCCAGTTTTGGTCATTTTGCCATTTTTACTACTTCTGCTCCATACAGTACTCCTTCTCAACAAAGAACACTTCATATTTAATGTTATATATTTCATCCAGACTGGTGAGAGGGCATATTAAGGTGGTGGTAGATAAAGAATTAAGGTCCCCCAGTTAACGCACTCACTTGGGATGCAGGCAATCAGAGGCTCTTCCCATTGGCCACCGGGCAGGCATTTGATGACCGGATTCAGTTTCTGCACAAAACCCTCCTCACAGTAGTACCGCACCTTGGTGTTGGTCTCGTAGCGCAAATGTTTCTTCCCAAATACCTTAGCGTTGGGAACTTTGGGGGGCTCACCGCAGGATGCTGTTGGATGGAGGGAAAATGGAGAGACAACTTTGCCTCTTAGGGCTCATTTATACTCAACATTAGATACATAATTGGACATGGATGGAGCCTATTGTCTGCATTTTGCTTTCATTTTGTCCTTATTTATGCAAGTTTCTGAAAGCTTACAGATATGGATGAAACGGAGCAGTACAACCTGAGACTGTGAGGGTGATGTAGTGTAGTTCAAGTGACATATGGCTGGAGGAGTTGACGAAGACATTTAAAATGGTAAAACTGAACACACTGATAGTATACAGGGTGTCTGCAGGTCCTAAAAAAGTTTCAAAATTTCAAAAACATCAAGCCTTAACTGTCATTAAATAGTCATAAATCTTAATTTGTGATGTCTTAATTGCCACAAAAATTTGATCTCTTTTATCCATATTTCAGTTTCTCTTTGCCAAAATGAGTCATGATCTTTGTGTGACTGAAAGTCCAAATTTCTGATGTTTAAAACTCTCTAACATTCCACTGAACCAACTTTATACTTGCGCTTACCTGTTGGCAAAACCTAACCTAACATTCCTACTTCTTTTTGTCCAAAAATCTGTCTTAAATGTAGTTAAAACCCACCTTGAAAGGTCTTAAAAACATTAAATCTAAGTGTCTGATTCTTGCAGACACCCAGATAGTCAGTGAAGTGAAAAGAGGTCTATGTCCACATGTTGCGATGTATTTAAAGGCCTCACAGACTTCCACCGCCTACGATGCTGCCTCCATTTAAAGGTACATTTTAATGACCCCCTCCATCGTCATCTTGTTCGTTGTCGTGCCAAACTTTTAACTCTGCTCTCTAGTGCCATCTATTGGCTGTATCATTACCTAGTCTGACTGGGCGGAAGTTTGCTGCAAAGATCAGCCTCTCATTGGGTGGAACGAGCCACCCGCTGAAGTCCCGCCCTACCACCTCCGGTTGCAGTTTTCAACACGTCCTTTACTAACTTTTGCGGTGTTTGATCTTGCGGGGATGTAGCCATTTTTCTGCCATGGTTCGCGTCCTGTAGGTGATATTTTTGTGGGCGTGTTACACCAAAACCTGTTTCCCCCTGGCAATATTTTTGCAAGCGCACCGTTGCTGTGGCACCGCCCAGAACGATTGTGATTGGTTGAAAGAAATACAAGCAGCCGGGGCGTTTTTTTTCTCCAATCTTAAAGTGAGAGTTGGCCCAGCCAGACCTTTCTTTTCTTGAGAAAGATCTGGTGAGCGAGACTAATCATTGCCAAAATAAAGGATGCATGAGGGCAGTGACATTTACAACGTATCTATTCTCGTACGTAAAGGAAGTATAAATGAGCCCTCAGATCGTCACCCTGTGGTGCTGATTTAAAAATAAGACTTAACAAAGAGAAGATACAGGTGAACTCACAGATGCCCTTCTTGCAGGTGTAGGACAGGTGGTAGTTACATGGCACGTCGCTCCAGTGGCCGCCGTCGTGCCACACCATCACCGCACAGTCCTCACCTGACAGGAAGTAGCTGTCAGGCTGACCTCTGAACCAGTTCTCATAGAGCTGACAGAGAGGGCAGAGCAGATTAAAACACAGTCACATCAAGGAACACGATGCAAAGCTTTGACAGCTTGGACACTCATAGGAAACAATTAAAAAACTCCTGTTCTTTTCTGGGATTGACGACTAAAACTGGACTTGCTGGATTGTAAGTCTCGCATGTTCTATATTCTCAGCAGGTTGAACACAAAAAGTCAATGCAGAGTTATGGACACTCAGTAGAACTCACCAGAGGGTTCCCGTCCGACCAGCGGAAGTCTCCCTCGATGGTTCTGTCATTCAGTCCGATCCACTGATATTCTCTGTATTTGTCTGAAAATAAAAAGGTGTGAGGAGAGAAATTAAGAGAGAGCTCACTGCCCTTTAGCTAGATCATAATTTATTCATCTATTTATTATATAAACTGAATATTTTGGTATTTTAAATGCGCTGATAGAGACGCCAGTTATACAACACTGCTTTTGAAATTCTTCTGAAGTCGACTGCTTTTGTAAAGACGACTCTTTTACACTTCCTCTCCAACAGTCTAAGTATCAGTCTGTTGTCTCCATGGTAACTGCCCGCAGAGTAAAAAGCAACCACCAGAGGAATGTCAGATTTCTATCTCAACGCCTCGTTGCCAGACGAAATACAGACACCGACTTCAAAAGCCGTGACATTTTCGAGGAAAAACTGGCTTCAACAAAAGTGGAGAGATGAAAGGTCGTTGTTGTGTCTTGTCTGAGAGGCTTCGCTGTTTAAACAAACTCTGCACTTTGGGTTTTTCAAGAGTCTGAATCGGAGGAATGTTAGAAAAGATCACTATTGATATGTGCTGTGAGAAGTATGTCCGTCCCTGTCAAAGAGCCTTTTAGCAAAGGATGAACCCAACTGCTCAAATGTTGCTGCGTTCAAGGACGCCTCGACACCTGAGAGCTGGTGAACAGCTGGATGAAACAACCAAATTCACACCTTTCACATCCTTTTATATGCCTTTAAATATATTGTTACTTTTAATGGTAATGTTGAAGTAGGATCTTATGTTAGACAGAGAAAAACAGTTGGTGTGAATGTCCAGGTATGCTGCATAACTGCTGCAATTAAGTCTTAAGATCTGCACCTATCAGGTTTTTTTTAATATCAGAGGGAGTTTTGAAATTTTGACAAAACACTAAGGGACTGTTCTTTACTATTCAGAGGTGCGGGGTGGCTTTTTTATTTTATTTTTTATTTCAAGCCTCCCTGAGTGACTGGCAGAAAAAACACGACCCAGATTTTTAAAACTAACCCTTCGATATAGCTTTTGCAAATGGTTGATTTTTGGCCAAATTTTAAATGAGATGTAGAATAGTGATTAGAATATGTGATTTTAATGAAATGTCACTATTTAAGCTCAGATTTGTGTTTGTTATTTTGCTGACAGAAGCATCCGTCACACATGATGCATCCAAGGACTGTTGGAAATGTGAAAATCAAGCAATAATTTCTGTTTTTACAGTTTCTAACTTTGATAAATGGCGTAATTTTGGCAGTTTTGCCCAAAGACATGTTTTGTATAAAAAAACTCAATGGAAAGAAATACAAAATATAACCATTTAAATCTGCATGCCCCTCCCCAGGCCAAAATAATAATCATAAGTCCCTCCCCAGTGCTTCAAAATGATTTGACATGCCTCCCTCTTTTTGCACCACCCCCTCCCTCCTTATAAATAACTCCCTGAGACTGCATTCACACCAAATCCAATTCTGCAGTTAAAATGCCACTCCTCCCATTCACTGAATGTGGATGGTGTGTCTAGGATGTGGCAGCGGTGCTACAAAAAACCACAGTGGCCTGCGGTAAGATGTTGAAAAACACTACTCGACACCAAGCTGCGTGTAACCGGCAATCAGACTGGAAGGATGCTCTCAAACAAGTTGTGCGATCTCTTTCTATGGTTAAATATTACAGTGAGTAAAGAAATAAAGTCAGATTAACATGTTGTGTGTTCTTTCCTACAAAGGAAAGTACTTGTTTTGTGTGTCGTATGTGGCAGTTAAGACTCTACTGTAATGAAAATCAACAGGAATTCTACTCGTCTTTGAAGCCAACAAAAACAAACTACCGAAGGCAAATACTCAGTCACTGAGTTTAGGAGACTGGCTTTCTCTTCACCCTCCACTCCCCCACTAATGGGCCATTTAAAGGTAGGATCTGGAGGATTTTCAAACAAAACAAAATATAGACATATACAAATGAAATCCTGCTTAATCATCACCTATGGGCTTCTACTCATGTGTGGTGGTGACTCTGTTTGCAGAGCTCCTGCCCTTTAACTGTATTTTGATGTTTTTGTGAGCTCGGACCGCTTCTGGGCGGAGATTTCCCCAGCCAATGAGAGAGCGCAGGTGCCGTGCCCGAGCGTGTCTGAGCGTGCACCAGCGCGAGCCTTGCCTGAACCTCTTCTGTGAAGCCTTCTTCCGTACCTCCGGGAGAGTTGAGCCTGATAGGAGGAGCCAAATTTGAATGTGTGTTTACAAACAGCAACTGGAAAATCCTCCAGACCCTACCTTTAAGTGACACTCCCAACGCCGGATTTGGAGTGAATGCATCCTAAAGTTAATCAAGTGTTTGCCCTGATGGATTCACTGTGTCAAGCAAATATTTTATAGATCTACCCGCTGATTTTCAAAATAATTCAAGCCTGAAAGATATTCATGTAATCTAAAAAAGTATCATTTGCTTTCTGTAGAGGTGGTCGTCAACAATCAGAAATGTATGTGGTTGTAAAACATGCAAAAAAAATACTCTAAAGTGAGTAACGTCACTGGTTGAGTTGAATCTCAAAGGACTGAATCAAAGAAATATAATTTCACTACACAAATTATAAAGTTCAAAATGGTCATTTTCTTCACACATTGATTTGACACACACATCACACAAACACATTTACTTGCTAACTAGCTCAGATGTTCCTGAAATCTGTTTCCTGTGCTTTGAGAAATGACATCTAACTCCAGAAATCAGATGAGTTTCACCTCCAGGTCACTAAAGCATTGATCTAAGCGGATGGTGCTCTGCAGGGGCTTCATGATTTACCGTTGATGTAGTCCTGCTCCTCAGGGGTCATGACAGAAAGTAGATGTCCTCCACACATGCGACAGTGCTGCTCAGCCGCCTCCCAGCTCTGCCTCTTGGCAAAGTGACGGTAACAAAAGCTCTGAAACTTCTCCCAGCCGGGCTCACACACCTCCACGTCTGCAGGACGGAGACAGAAGAGAAACAATATTAAGACTTTAATGACGTATAAATCAGTTGGAAATATTATAGGAAAGATGACGTGTCTACATGTTTATGAGACAGTTGACACTGAACCTGTCTGGCACAACTCTCCTCCATAACCAGGCAAACAAAGACATCGTGCTGATTCACCGTCGACACAAGTGCCTCCATTCAAACACGGGTTCTCCAGGCAGGAGTCTGCAGCCATGTGAAGACAGTGGTGATTAATAACAGAGGTTGTTTTTAATATGTATTCATATTCAGTATCTCAGATATTCAGATAAGAAATTGTCTACAGATAGCCCATAAATTAACCTTTATAATTACTTATTTCATTGAATCTATTTGTCAAGGACCGTTGACAGGTAAAAAACAATCTTATACTTTGCACACGAATCAGAAACTTTTCCATCTGAATCAAAATTATATTCCACACATTGTTTTATTGGACTTGATGGTATGTTTGTTTTAAGAATATGAGTCCTGCAGCCCATGAACACATTCAGAGGAGAACCTTTTCATGTATATCCACTCTTAATATCGTCTTTTCACATGCAAATGCCCTACATGGAGGCACCAGCAGAGGGAGCTGTTACATCAGGTATGACCCAGTGCTCTCAACTACCATTTCTTCTCCACATTAAAACCCCGGGGTCGTATTCACAAAGCCTCCCAGCTTCCTAGTGACAAAATTCTTATAAAATTCCTCGAGCTATGTTTTACTTTTCTATGAATTTCCCCTTAAGGTTAAGACTAGATTAACTAGATAAACCATTAGGAGCAGGGAGAAGGACTTTTAAGAGTTTCTTAATCAGAGGAGAAATTGGTGGAAAGACAAAGAGGTAGCAGAAATATTCTCCAAACACTGGATGACAGTGAGTAACTGAAACACTATAGATTAAGCCATGCAGGGTTTATGTTTGTGATCAATCTCATCAGAGACACGCTCACGTCTCCCATCCAACGCAGCAACGATATAATGTCAGAAATAAAGAGATCATGAGACAAAGATATTTGGAAACTGGGAAAATGCATCAGTGCAGCAGTGATGACTTGAGTCTGTCTCAACCCTCCATCAGCAGAGTGATCTCACTAACAATGACAACACTTTCACAGTGTCATATTGTGATACAGTTCATTTCATGTGGGTGTCCTCACTTTGCAGGCTCACAAAAGGGCAACCAATGACATCTGTTAAAAGAATGTGTCACATCTAGCAACAGGGTTGACCACGCCTCCTCACTGAGGTCAAAGTTTCTGTCCCCCCAGCAGGACAATCCACCATGCCACACCATAAACACTGTTCAGGAATGGCCCAAGGAATGGGGCAAAGACCTCAAGGCATCCACCTGGTCTCGAAAATTTCCCACATCCCAATGTGATCATGCATACGAGGGACGTGCCAGGACTCTGAGTGATAACCCTCAGGAGTGAAACAATTCGTCAGCAACACCCAGCTGCCAGACACTACAGGACACCCCCTGAGGTTGCATGCTGCTTGACAAGTCAGATCCAAGTCCGACCTAAAGAGGCCCCACTGTGGATCAGGGGTACCTCTGGGGTGATTGTGGAAAGTTGGGATCTGGGGAATTTGGAGGCCAGGTTGACACCTTGAGATCTCGGCTTTTCCTGAGCAGTTTTTATAGTGTGACATGGTGCAATGTCCTGCTGGGGGGCCTACTGAGGGGGTGTACTTGGCCTGCAGCGGTGTTTGAGTGGGTGGAGCGCGTCAGGTGGCATCCACATGAATGCCAGGATCAAAGTTTCCCAGCAGAGCATTACAGTGTAACAAGATGATCAATGTTATTCACTCCACCTGTCAGTGGTTTTAATATTTTGGCTGATCACTGTGTATATTGCATTTATATTTAAAGCACAGCACTGGAGGGTAGCCTACAACAAGCCTGTCAGTGCACAGTGTAGAAATATGAAGTATGAGACAAATAAAAACTTAAAACTCCACATTTAGCATCAACATTCATCATTTCATGCTTCTGAAATGAAGACTTGTTGAATTACAAATTTTATTTCGAACATTAGCCAAATCAAATTAAAGTACTTTTTAACAGACTTGGTGATGTGCATTTTTTGCTTTAAGTGAACAAACACTGTAACTTCAAACTAACATGGCATGAGTGATCTTTATGTTGTATTGTCACAGTGACATATATAAAGTACTGAAGGTGCAGCTTCGTGTTCATGACTGAGATGAGACTTTTATCCTGTACGATATAAAAAATATGTTGTGTAATTTGTATTTTGTGTCATCAAACAAACTGAAGGTGCAAATGAAAAAAAAGAAAGGAAGAAAAACATTTTAATTTTTAGATTTTTTGGTTTTTAAAGAATGAATAATATTTTTAAAAGAAAGGCTGTTCTTATGTAACACAGTGAGGAGACACCTGCTGTGTGTTATTCTCTGAGAATTAACTCTGAATGAGGACCTAATCTCTCTGTTGTGCTGAGTCAGCTGGAGGTGTTAAATTGCGAGCGAACATAAAATCCCTCTCCTGATTGGACCTTTTCAGAGACAGATGTCTCCCCTCTGCTTCTAACAGCAGCTGTTGTTTCTGTTGTGTGCAGCACTTTGTGTCAGAGCACAGGTACCTGACATGGCTCCTGGTCTGACAGCAGACACTCTGGCAGCAGGCAGGGACGCAGCCAGGGCGGGATACTGTGGGAACATGGTGGGAGCAGTGATCGTCACATCGCTGCTGTCGGCGGCGTGCGTCGGAGCGTTGGTTTCCTCCTCATCGGGATGCCACGTGCAAACTTTAACTGGAGGCTCGTCGGTGCCGCTCTCTCCCTCATGTCCCTCTGATCCATGTTCTGTAGAGACAGTTTATTGTTAGGGACTGCTCGTTACTTGTGAGGCAGAGGGGTGGTGCAAAAAGGGGAGACATGTCGAATAATGTTTTAAGCACTGGGGAGGGACTTTTTTTATTTAGACTTAGGGGAGGGGCATACCACTTTAAACGGTTGTGATTTGGACTTGTTTTACAGGCAAATTAAGGCATGTGTGTTGTTTTTGTTTGTTTTTATCGCCAAAATTACACCATTTATTATAGTCAGAAACTGTAAAAACAGAAATTATCCTTGGATTTTAAAATTCCCAACAGTCCTTGGACATGTCATGTGTGATGAATATGTCAGTCAGAAAAAAATAATAATAATCTGAGTTTAAAATCACTTTATTCTGTGTTATACAAAATTTGGCCAAAAATAAACTATTTGCACGAACTAACCACCATGCACAATAAGAGTGAAAAATCCAACTACAGGATTTCGTCCTCAACTTTTAGCTTTCAAACATGGAAGGGTAAGTTTTAAAAGGGAGGGTCATGCATTTTCTACCAGTCACTCAGAGAAGCTCAAGGAGGGGAGGGTCAAAATTAAAACAAAACAAAACCAAAACAAAACAAAGCCACACCCCAGGCACCCCCCTCCTTTGATAAATAAAGAACAGTCCCTTACATGGTCACAGATTATATATAAATGCAGACAACTTGACCTCAGGTGCTTTTTATACAAAAGAATGTGACTATATATTTTTTATTTATTTATTTATTTTGGCCAATTCAGCATGTTGAATCAGCGACAGTGGCAGCAAAGCCTGTCGGTGAAGTAAATCACTATGACTGGCAGTTCAGCTCAGCACACAAGACGAATTCAGGAACAAAACAGAAGTGAGGAAAGTAAACAAAGAGCTAAAGTCTTTATCCACTGAGCTTTTTAACAGAAAAGTTTCTTGATGGTTTGTGTTTTTGTTCACTAGTACACATTAAATATGCTCTGTTCTGTCAACATTTAATTGTGTTGTAAATGTGCTAACTGGCTAACTAGCATCAAGACAGTCTTCCAGTTTCCCTTTTTGTAAGACGAACACAGACTACTGCCAATCTGCTGGTGTGGAAGGTTCTTTCCTCCCACAGAGGCGCAGAACATACATGATGGTTGACCGACTGCTGTGGTCTTTACAGTCTGTTCATGTGCTACATTTTTGGCTAAAACGCAGTGATATCTGGCCACGCAGCAGGTTTGGTGTGTCTGGGCCTTAAGACCTACACAGCCGTGGACAAAAAGGTGCGAGTGTTTTTGCTACTAACACAAAGAGTCTGTCTGAAACCAGCAATGACAGTGAGCTGCACTGTGCTCTGCTTTGTGCAGCACTTCCTGATGGAACCAACAAATGTTTGACCTTGTTGGTTAAAAACTTTTTAATTCCTTCAGTTAACTAATCAATTCATGACCAATTATTGCAGCTCTTTTTACAATACTTTTGATTGAGGATGGACGATGCTGCAGTGGTTTCAGAGACATATTTTCTAACCTTCTTTTTCCTCCACAAAGAGCAAGCTACACGTGTTGGTGCCCCTTTTTTGGTGGACTATTCCTTTAAACTCACCATTGATGCTAGCAGTGGTGATCTCGGTCACGACCTCCTGCTCGTTAGAGGCATCATCAGATTCCTCAGTGACAGGCAGCTTGGCGCTGTGTTCCTGCTCAGAGCGAGACTCCTGTAGTGTGGAGGAGGAAGGCTCTGGCTCCCAGCCGGGTGTGAGGGTCAGATGAGGGATCAGTGTGATTTTTATATCTGATGAAGATGATGGTGCATCAGTGGCATCCTCATTGTCATTTTCCTCTGAAGCATGGTCCGTTGAATGAGCTGGATTTGTCAGCAGCAGTTCTGGTGTCACCTCTGGGCTTTCTCCTGAGGATTCACCTGATCCCTCTCTGGCATCTCGCTCCGTCCCCTCCGGATCACTTTCTGTGATATTTTGGGGTGTGTTCAGAAATACCGCTGGGCTTTCTCCTAATACCTCCTGTTCAAGTTTGTCCTGGATGTCCTCCTGAGGTTCGGCCCCAGATGAAGTATTGCTTTCGGGTATGAAGGTTATAATCTCTGGGGAGCTGGCTTCAACCTCCACAGCAGGTGGAGACAGGGTTACAGATACAGGGGATGTCATCAGAGTAACTGGATCACTGTTTAAGACCGGAGCGTTCACACTGGAGTCGTCTGTGGCTGCGATGACCTCTGCTGTGGCTGTGATGACCTCTACTGTGGCTGTGATGACCTCTGCTGTGGCGACGTCTTCAGGGTGGAAGTGTCCGCTCTGGTCTGTTTGATCATCTGGTGCTGTCTCCCCTGACGCGCTATCAGACTCCTCATCAGTATGATTGACCAGGATGGACAACTCCACAGTTACTTCTGGGTGCTCCGTGGTGCGATCATCACCTGTCAAGAAAAAAGGGATCATCTGAAATGAGATTTTAAAAATACCTTTTCCTGCAGAAATGTATTTGTGAGGATATGTTTGTAGCCACGTCAGCAGTGAGGCTCTAGGAATGCCGACGTTGGACCAAGACTTTGGTTCAGAGTGAAATATCTCGGATGGATTGCCATAAGACCCCACTGCCACAGACAATGACAGTCCCTAGAAAGGATGAATCTTAATGACTCTGGTGATCCCGTGATTTTTCATCTAGCACCACTAAGGCTGGATATCACCGAAGGCCCTGATACAGTATCACCACAATACTTAAAGGATAACATTTTTCGATCTAGACCCTACATGTATTTTAATGTGTAAATTGATCGAAGAGACTGATGTGACCAACAGTTTTGAAAATTGGTCCATTGTTGAGCGAAACGGGCAGCAGCCAGCAGCCACGGGACGGGCTGCAATGGAAGCACATGGGGCAATTGTAAGCCATCACTGTATCTCAATTAAAAGTGGTTATTTTCACCAGGGACAGGCTCAGATTGTTATTGTAAGTGTGTCTTTACCCCTTACTTGACCCTGTCTGTTTGTCCGCACTCTGTCTAACTTGTAAGTTTTCTACAAGTTTTATTCATCTCGTCCCTCTCCTACGCACCTGTTTGAAAATAGATTTGCAAAGTGTTCGTTCGTTTAAGGAGTATAATAATCAGAGTAGTTTACAGAAAATGTATTTCAGTGTTTTCTAAAACATTTTCAATATTATGGATGATTATTCAGATGAGAGGACAAGGGGCTCGTACAATATCTAACATTGCCATCATCATTCCCTGCCAGTAGCTAACGCCTTGATGTGTGGGAGGGGCAAATGTAAGCATAAAATATAATAAAATATATTATAGGTCGTATAATACCGAAGCATATATATTTTTCTACCACACACACTGCAGCATAGATAGTTTCAGCTTGTTGATATCACTTATTTTATTATTATGAGTATCAGCTGATGAAATTGGGTAATAAATCTAAATAGTTTTGTTATTATCAGTACTGAATCAGTTGATATTTTGCACCTCCTAATCGGTTATTGATTAATTTTCGTCGTTATCCTGTTGTGCTTTCATGTGTAACATTATGCAATGTACATATAATAACGTTAGCTAATAGCATTAGCCTGCCTCCAATTGTCTGCAACAGGTAAATTCACTCTTGGAACAGGAGGTTGTTTTTTTTAAAACAAAATTAGCTCTGGATTTCTTCTCCTCTTTGACAGGTAGTAGTCATCCTGGTCAAAATGCTCACTGCAGACCATTCTGATTCAGAGTCCTAACATGGCTCTAAGGTTTAATGGTATTTAATGTCTTGCTTGGTCCCACTCTCAGCATAGCTTGCTTCTTTTCTAATCCAGGGAGCACCTCAAGAGTGGAGCCCTCAGCACCAAACACAACTGTATTTCCATTTGTTGCAATAAATGATTAAATCTAAGATGAGTGTTACTAACTGAAGAATATTATTGTGATGTAAAACTTTGTGTTATGCTGAGTATTGCAATAACATACACTGCAATTTAATGTAACTTGTTATCTTTTTTTTAATTGCAAACTATGTCTAGATCCGTTTGACCTCATAAGATAAAGTTTTTAGTCTTTTCGTCTTACTTACAAAACGTACCCAGTGGACAGAAAAGTAAAATATGACAAAAAAAATCCAGCGTTTCTCACACATTCATTTATTTGTGGTGGCCGGCTATGATTAAAGAATCAGCTGCCACGTATTGCCTTTCTATTTTTGGAGCTTGACCATTCATTAGTTGCACTTTTGAAATATATCTACACTCTTGCAGCGCAGAGCATACTCAGTGCAAAGTGAAACGTAACCGTTCATTGCCCTATATCTAAAAGTTTGCTTTCACTCACAAACAGCTGCTCCTCTCATCTATCGATCTGATCTGATCAGCTCTGAACAAATTGACTGATTAATTATCCACCCTGCAACTCAAACTCTACAAACTGCTGCTGCTGAGGATGAAAGAAGAGTTCTGCCTGTGCTGCGTTCATGGACCCACAACAACCTCAAAATTTAGAGATACACAAGATCACACAGGCAAGAAAAAGAAAAAAACTTAAAATAGTTTTAGCCTTAATGACAGTCAAATATCAGGTCACTATGACATCTTCATTGTACACATACCTAAATCAGACGTAGGGACCAGTTCAGAGGGGGAAGAGGTGTCCACACCAGCCAAACTTTGAGTCACAGTGTTTTGTGTCTCCTCCCCTCCAGACGCCTCTTCTGTTGGAAGACTCTCAGGCGTACTGTTGACAAAGGATGGCAGCAGAGTGGCAGAGTGAACATCTATTTCCTTGGTGTGGGGTGAAGAAGTCACGGCTGATATCTCCTCAACAGGCCCAGCGCTGGCCTCTTCTGGCTGCCCTGAAACATCATAAGAAGTGCTTGAGTAGACGAGCTCAACTTCAGAGGCGAGTTCCAGGTGGTCATCTGGAGTGTGGTCCTCTTGAAGAACAGGAAGGTCGCCCTCCTGAGGAGCCACTGGAGAGCTGCTGAAGAGCTCATTTGCATCAGTTCCAGATGTTGCAGTAACAGCTGGCGTATCCAGGCTGTCAGTCACAGAGATATGATGCTCTGAAGGCTCTCCGCTCTCTGAAGCTGTTGCATCAGCTGTGGGTAAAGTGGAGTCTTCACCAACAGTTACTACGTCATCAGCCGTTGGATGAGTCGTTGGAAGCGTGTGAGACTCTTCGTGATCTGTGTCTGTGTTTTCTTCAGGTGCAGGCTGATAAGACTCTGGGTAGCTGGCCTTCTCTATGACCTCGTGCACCTGATGCTCAGCTGGAGGAGTGACAGTCTGATGAACATCCACCTTCTCATAACCCAATGTTGAGTGAGCCTCCACCGGGCCCTGCTTTACGGGATTGGCTGTCTGGGCATGTTGGACGTCTTCACCCTCCTTAGCCATCACCTTGCTCAGGCTGAACCCCTCCTCCTCCTCCTCCTCTGCAGGATTAGTAAAGAAAACAATGTCCTGGCCAATGTCCTCTGGCTCCGTGGCAAGAAAATCCTGAGGAGATTCTGTGTAAGGGCCATTATGGCCTGGAATAAAGAGCAGAGTTAGAAAATGTTATTCATGTTGTTTGGGATTTGATTGGACCTACTCCTAATGCCACTACGGGAAAAACTTGGTTGAGAGTTTAGCAAGAAAGCTCATTAGCATGTAAGAAAGAAGGAATAGCATCTGTGATCTCCGTCACAAGAGTTAACAAGTGGGCACCTTTAAAAGCAGGGACACTAACCATAGCATTTGTGGTTAATCTGTACAAATCAGCCTTAATTTTACCTTCAGCCAAACCACTTTGGATGAACAGCAATAGAAAACACTAATGGAGCAGATGTATGCTGGTATATGAGCAAGTTCTTACAAGTCAGCTCCCAAACTATCCTTGATAAAACGGAGGGAGCGAGAATGATTTAAAGGATAACTTTGATGCTTTTCAACCTGATCTTTTATCAGTCTGAAGGAGTTTATTCACTGTTCTCTGTGTCTCTGGGGAGCTGCTGCAAAATCTGTTTTTCACCCGCAAATGGAAATGGTGCAGTCCATCTGACAGAGGGTTCAGATGCACGATGCGCAGAACTCACAAGTGCCACTACTGTAAACACATGAGGCAGACTGTAACCTGACTAGCTAAGTCAGAATGCCTCACCAAAAATCAGTACAGAGAGAACACCAAAATGAGAGGCGAGGAGAGACAACAGCCAAATATTTGACAAAAAAATGTGAAGAGGCACTATGACAAGCAGAGCTGGAGGTAAGAAGTGAGACAGACTTTTTTTTGCAAAGAAAACCTCCTGTAGTGGGCTCAGTTTTAAAGCTAAAGTGAAGGTACAGGTATCATATTAAATTAGAGGACCTAAGGAACCCATTGATACCAACCATGTGATGTTATCTTGTCAGAAAGGGGACCAAATAATGCTCCAAATTAAGCTAAAGTTTGGCGAAGGAAAAAGGAACATTGCCATTTCTCAAAATTATTTCTGCAGACTGGGATCACTAATCAGTCTTGCACTTAAATAAATCGGGTATGACTGGAAAACCAAGACCTGACAGCCATATACACTTTGCACTATGTCAGTTCTGCACACTATTTGACCAATATTTGATTAAAGTAAAGTCCATGAGAATATGAGGACAGACAAGAACAGCTGAATATTCTTTTAGAGGAGGTACAACTGTCCAATATTACACAAAAAAGAGATTTTTTTTGAGGAACAGAACCGTGTTTCTTCAACTCTCCTATCCCTCTAAGATTTATCTTGCAACCCCTCAGAGGGGCCAAGAGCCGGATGAAGAAAATAAACCAGGATACTTAATAAAAACAACATAGTTTTCATACTTCTGAAGCAGTAGACGTCGTGACGAGTGTGAGCCTCAGGGAAGCCCGTCTGGTTGCTGTAGCGATACACAGTTCTGACCCCAGGTTCACCTCCTCCACAGCGCTCTCTGGGGGTGACGATGGGGTAGCGCACACTCCCGTCTGCCAGCCAGCCCGGACTGCAGAGGTTCAGTCCGTCATTCCAGGCTGCGTACAGCTGAGCTGTGGTGACCAGCTCGGCCCCGTGACTCAGACAGTAGGCCTTGGCCTCCCAGAAGGTGAAGCGCTGGGGGGCGGAGCCATGGAATACTTCACCTTTACACAAGGAGACAGGTGTCAAGTTCTGATGATCTCTGGCCTGTTACCTCGCTGTGGTACTATACTGCCATGAGTATATAAACAACATTATATCATTTTTCGTAACCACTTATCCTGTTAGGGGTCACGGGGGGTGGAGCCTATCCCAGCAGACACTGGGTGAGAGGCAGGGTTCACCCTGGACAGGTCACCAGACTATCACAGGGCTGACACATAGAGACAGACAACCATTCACACTCACATTCACAATTACGGACAATTTAGAGTCACCAATTAACCTGCATGTCTTTGGACTGTGGGAGGAAGCTGGAGCACCTGGAGGAAACCCACGCTGACACAGGGAGAACATGCAAACTCCACACAGAAGGGCTCCCCCACCCCAGAGTTCAAACCAGGAACCCTCTTTCTATGAGTCGACAATGCTAACCACTGCACCACCATGCCAGTTTGTTTAAATTTAAAAAAAACATAAAAAAATTAAGTACATATTAAAAACTCCTTTTGGTTGTCTTACCATCGATATTCTCCACGTAGCAGTAGACGTCGTACAGCTCATCAGGCTCTAACAGTCCATAGTTCCTCACCCCCGGCAATCCATCCATGTCCCCAAAACAGCCCTCTCTTGGTGTGTGGATGGGATATCTGTGGAGGGAAATGTTGCACTGAAACACCAAGCACCTCTTCTGTTTTGATGGCAGCACTCCAAACATCACGCTAGTTTGAGCTCTTCTCTGACTGGGTGTTGAAGTGGGGAGAAATGTTTGGTTTCAGATGAGATGAGTGCCTCTCAGCTGCTGGATGATCTGTGTGTTCTGATGTACAGAGCATATCAAATGTTAGCTGGCTGAGAGGTCCACTATCAGACCATGATGCTCCCTCAGCCACACAGACAGCATCGTGTCACTGTTCCAGTTTACTGTTGTTGTTTTTGTCGAGCAACATAAAGGATTTGGGCTGCTGCCAAATGTACGCTCAACACCTGAGTGTCTCAACCTTCACTTCTAAATAATACAAAGTGCTGAAGAGGCCTCTTGATCCAGAGTTGAGTGATGTGTCCTGTTTGACATTTGGAGCATTTCTCTCCGAGGCGCTCACCTCACTGAGTGGTCTGAGAGCCAGCCTGCATCACACTGCTCGTATCCGCTGTGGTAGGCGGCCAGGAGCTGCTCTGGAGTGGCAATTTCCGCCCCGATCTCCTCGCAGGCCTCTCTGGCCCGCTCAAAGGTGAAGGCGTAGCGGCTGGATGCATCGCGATAATGGAACACCACCCCTGTAAAAAAACAAACCAGCAGCTGTTGTGAACTCTGTCCTGTTTATGTCATTCTGCAAAAAAGGCATCAGAGGAGGGGCGACATGCAGGACGCAGGAAAAGTAAAATGTTTTCATCAACCCCGAGGACAAGATTAAATAATTAAGACGCACAAATACTTCTGATACAACCAAACTTTTATTGCTGCTTCCTATCAAAGATGTAATTTGTATTTTTTGTAATTAAATAATTTGTCTCTGCTGATCCATGTGCACCCTGTGGTGGTTTTGTCTGTCACTGTGGAAATAAAGGCCCAATCCCAGGGTCCACACTCCCTTTGAGGCGTGTTCCTGCTAAGTCAGCGAGGGCTTATGGCTGTCTAGCTGTCAAATCATCGACTGCATGAGGACTCTCTCTCTCTCTTCTTGACATTTTGAGCCCTTCATGCACACTTTGTACATTGTTGGAGACTTAAAGTGAATAATATCCAGATTCAGATTCAGATTCAGATTTTTATTCGCACACCACACAGAATCAACATGTGTCAACAGTTATACAAGTACAAGACACAATTGTGTGGAGTGCCAGGTCTCCCATGAAGCTATTTAAAGCTTATGGCGGGAGCCTGATCAGGAAGATGAGTCAAGATGTATAGCAGTGACATGGTACAAGACATCTTACAAACCCCAGATCCCAGATCAGAGAAGGATGCTATACATATGAATTAAGCATTTTTTGTTTCAGTTTCTTCTTAAAAACAGAGATGGATTTAGATGTTTTCAGACTCTCATCGAGCCCATTCCAGACCTGCGGCCCCCTGGTTGTTATGCTTAGACTAGTGCATTTCAGTCGTCTTTTTTTACCGTGTATAAGATGTGTATTTCTGGTATTATAATTATGTGTGGGGCGGCTGACTGGGATGAGCTTGGAGAGTCTTGGATTCAAGTTATGGACAACTTGGTATATTGTAGCAGCATTTTGATGAACATTGAACTCAGCAAGCCTCAGGAGATTACAGTTGTGGAAGAGGGAACGAGTGAGAGTGTTATAACCAGACCAGGTTATGGCTCGTATTATTTTCTTTTGTAAACTTTCTAATTTCTTCAGGTGACTAGGGAAGGTGTTGCACCAAATAATATTACAATAATTGATATGAGACTCAAGCAAGGTTTTGTATAAGATAAGGAGAGCAGGTAAAGGAAGAAAATATCAAAGTTTGAAAAATAGACCAGCATATTTAGACAATTTAGTTAACAGATGTCAATGTGACATTTGAAATTGAGTGACTCATCTGTTGTCTTCACTCTGGTATGAAACTCCACTGATGTTGTGATGTATCAGATCAGTCCGATCAGCTGCAGAATCTTATCAATAACTGATATTCAGTAAGGGGGCATGCAGCTGACAGAAGGTTTTTGTGAGTGCTACACATGTTTCCTTGCTCATGGTGCCTCAGAGTAGAAATAAGAGCTCTGAGTCGGCCTTTAAGCCAGTGCCCCTGAACAACTTCAAATGAGGATCAAGGAAATTTCAAATAAGAGATTAGGGTCCGTATTGACAAGAGGTGAAACAACACAGTCTGTAGATATTATCATGAGCTGTCTGAACATATGTTTGAATTTTGAACAGCATATGATGAGGTGCCTGTCAAAAGGGTATGAAAAAAAAAGTCACGGGGCAGCTGATGTTAAAATTAGGGAGCGATTTGCACTAGTGGGAGATGATCAATAGCACAGACAGGCTGAGAAAGACCAGAAATTTGCCAGGACAGTTTTGGAGCTGCTTATTAGACCCATAAAATATCTTGGCTGTAGGAAATTCCACTGCAGAATATCCATCTGGATGGAGTTTTATAGTAGCTAATGACTGGTTGTCTACAACTGGGTGTCGGCCACCATTCAAAAGGATATATTAGAAATTTTGGCAAATCAGGTCCGCAGACAGATTGTGTCTGAGGTGAGGGAGCACACATTATTTGGACTAACGAAACCACCAATTTATTTATGTATGAGCATTTTACTGGAGCTCCTCAGTCGCCAGGATAACTGTGCAAACCACATGTATGTAAAATTTGTACCTTATTATGTCGCGGACATGTTGAAAGGCTTCAGCAACACTGTGGTTGACATGTGGTTAGGTTAGGCACACAAACCACTTGGTTATGGTTTGAAAAAGATCATGTTTTGGCTTAAAATACCTGCTTTCAGTGGCACAATCATGGCTGGAAACGCCGCCAAGGTCTTGCTAAAAAAGTTTTGTGTATGTGTCTCACCTTTGACCTTGACCTGAGCCACATCATCAGCGTCCTCCAGGCCCTGCTGCACCTCGCAGCGGTAGAAGCCAGTGTCGTTCTGCCTCAGGCTCTCCAGCCGCAGGGTGAGGTCGGCGGGGGAGTAGGCGTAGTTGAGCAGTGAGGCTCGGTCTTTGTAGGCCTCGCTGACTCTCACCCTGTCGCCGCGGGCCACCAGGATCTCCGTCTCTCGGCCCTGAGTCAGCACGCTCCATTTTACCCGGGGGAGGGACAGCACAGCGTGGCGGCCGTTGGTGGAGGGGGATGGTGGCGGATGGGCCAGAGACACCAGGCAGGGTAACGTCAGAGAGCCGCCCAGCACAGCAACCACAGGCGGGGTGGTGGGGATGGTCACCTGCAGCAGCTTCGAGTCATCTGAGGAGAGGCAACCTTTAAAGTTAGAGGTGACATTTTCAGAGATATGCTACTTTCAACTGATGAGGCAAGATTGATGCCACCTTCATGTCTGGAACCTTTTTCTACACGGCGTTGCTATGAAGTCCCTTCTTTATGCCGCCTGTACAGTTTTACACTGAACCAAACAACGGCGGCATGATGGCACTCCAGCGTGCAATTTCAGACAGCATGCCGGTATCGTGGAATGAAAATCAGTTTGCATTTCCTCATTTTATTTTCCTTTACATGCCATATGTTTCAATGTTATGGAAAAATCTGTCAATATTCTCACTACAGTCCAACTACAGGAGAAGACATTATATCCGTCTGACTTCCTGCTGGGACACTCGGACGCCCTTGAAAACGGCCTCCGGAGAGTTCGTGTCAGCAAAAACAATGAACGACAGGAAATGATTAAACAGCATCCCGCTGCCCTTAAAGTCAGAGGTCACGTATGATTTAATGGAGTGGTGTGTGTCAGTGGTGAAAAGAGAGGGGGACGGAGAGGGAGGGGTGCGTACCTGACTCGTGGTGGTGGGTAGAGGACGACGGCAGGACGAGGAGACAGATGGTACACAGCAGTACAGGAAGGGGCACATCCAGTCTGTGGGTGAGAGACAGTGTTTGAACTTGATGACAAAAACCTCTGGACTGCACCAAACACATCTGCTGACAAAAAGTAACAACATGTCAGGTAGAAGTGTTGGTAGGATGTGCGTGATCGCCATGTTCTCATTCATGTTCTCCCACAATGTACAGAAGAGGGAACTTTGACCCTGTCATCCATCGATACAGGTTCAAGCCCATGTGTTTAATTACACTCAGTCAGGTGGAGGCAGCATTCATTATACTGAGCGTAGAGGTGTTACATACCATAAAGGAAACAACGGCTGAAGATAGATGAGACCACAAACAGTCAGGTGATAGTACTGAACTATGTCGCTGTGAACTGACAAGGTAATCATTATGTTGTTGGGTAAAACTTGCTCGTGTTTTTTAGGTCTGAGACCAGACAATGCTGAGGGATTTAAATATATATGAGAAAATGGATGTCAACAGACGCACCCATGGTTGAGGACAGGATTGATGCGATCCAGGACATTTTTGTGATGGAAAAACTAACACAAATTTAATGTTTGGAAGAAGAGAAGTTTAAAATTTGTTGGACTAAATATGTATCTTCAGTTACATCTGACTTTAACTGGTCATGAATGATGGAATAAATAAATAACTCCCCCCAAAGTTTATGTCGAGCTACTCAAATGTTACCTGCACATAGTTTACTTGTGATAATGCAAGCTCCTTTCCTTAGGAGCACCTGAATGCAGCAAGACCCTCTTCCCAATTTCTCTATATTTGTTATCTTTCCTTGTGTTATGCAGTTGGTCAACAAGGGGCTCTTCTGGTTTATTTAAATATGTATTGAGGTACAAGAAATAATTTGATATGAAAAGTGGTACCTGTTATTACTGCTTTGTCTTTATTTTTAACTATTTACTTTTATTTATTTATTTATTTATTTTTTATGTATGTATAAGTATTTTTTTATTGTTTTTTTATTTAATTATTTTAATCTATTTTAATTAATTTGTTTATTTCTTCCTGCCTGATATTTTTCTCAAGGGTTAAAATTTGTGAGTTTACTTTTATTTATTATACCACTAATACCATCTCTGCATATATGATTAGTCATACAACAAATTTTTATCTTTATTTGATCGCTTTCTTATTTTATTTTAAAAAACAAAACAAAACAAAAAAAACAGAAAACTTTGTGACTGACTTGGGTCTAAATAAGAATTAAAAAAAAAATTGCTCATGTTTATGAGTTGTCCTGCTGAAAACTACTATGAAACTATGAGGGCAGGGGGTGTGGGTGGGAGATGGTGAGCGAGATGTCTGTATCTGTGTATCTGTAGTGTATGTTTGCTAAGTAATGCAGTTTTGTCTGTATGTTTTTGTTTTGTATTTGTGTCGAGATGCTACATCTATCCTATAGCTATCCTTTCAATAAATTTAAATAAAATGCACACACAGCGCGCACTGTCCTAACTTAACTTAACCTAATTACTGTACAATGAAGCAAACCAGGTAATTTAAATGAGAACAAAGTCTTCCATCAGTCATACAGTGGTTAATTGTTCAAAAATCAGTGTGCACAGATTATTAACTGTGATAACAGGTTGCATTTGAGGATGAAATTTGAAACAAGACAAAAATACCATTCTTTTTGTTCTGTTTCTTGTATTTAATTTTCAACATAAAAAGTAACAAATAAAACAAACTTACAACCCCCCTTAAAAACCCCAACAAAAAGCCAGACTAGGCGGAGATAAATACAACAATGTTTAGCCTTTGGTGACGAATCAAAAACACCAAATGTCTCCAGACTGAGACTCTGATTTATTAGTTGGTTTAGTTTGTGTGACTTCCTCCCTCTCAGAATTTAGATGCTCACTACAGAGAAAAAACACATATTGACTTAATACTCGGAGCCATTCATCACACTCAGAGAGGAAAGGTGGCAGGTGGCCGATTTTCATCAAACATTTAAACAGCGACTGAAGTAACAACGAGCCAATATCATCAGAGTCTCTGCAGTATAACAGACAGGATGATGACTTTATCCATCATGTCCAACACTGTGAATACAAACTATCTATCCTGCACTCAGAAACACGAGAGACTGATTTAGATTATTTATTCTCATTGTTTTACACAACTCTTTGGTTGTTTTAAGGTTTTGTTTGGGTTCTCTCCTGGATGCATGGATGGATTATTGAATGGGCCAACTGGGCACTGGCCCAGGGGCCTAAAGGTCAGGGGCCCCGCAGCCTTCACTTGGAAAATGTCACTCAAATTTACACATTCTGACCAAGGAGGGACTCAAAGTGATCACTAAGCCACAAAAGACCACAAAGAGATGCACAGGAACCGCAAAGAGACACCAAACAACAACAAAAATACACAAAATAATCACAAAGAGACACCAAACAACAACAAAAATACAAATACAAAACAACCAAAAAAGACAAAAAATAACCACAAGGAGAAACACAGCGACAAAAAAGACACAAAATAACCACAGAGATACAAAACAACCAAAGAAAAGACATAAAATTACATTAAAGCCACCAAAATGGCTACAAAAATAAACAACAACCACAAAGAGACACAAAACGATGAAAAAAAAGACAAAATAACCACAAAGAGACACAAAACAAAAAAAGACATAAAAGTTACCTTAAAGAGTGGCTACAAAAATACACAGAACAACAAAGAGACACAAAATACCAAAGAAAGACACAAATAATGACAAAGCAACATAAAACTACCAAAAAAAGACACAAAATGACCTTAAAGAGACCAAAACAGCTACAAAAATACATAAAACAACCACAAAAACACACAAAACACCAAAAAAGACACAAAATAATGACAAGGTGACACAAAACTACCCAAAAAAGACACAAAATTACCTTAAAGAGACCAAAACAGCTACAAAAATACAAAAAATGGACCACAAAGAGACACAAAAGAACTAAATGAAAGACAAAATAACCATAAAAATGCACAAAACATACACAGACACACAAAATGACCACTAAGAATTTGCACAAAAATAGACAAAACAACCACAGAGACACAAAACTACAAAAAAGACACAAAATACTGACAAAGCGACACATAAAAGACGTAAAATTACCATAAAGAAACAAAAAGGGCTACTAAAATACATAAAACGACCACAAAGAACACAAAAGGACTAAAAAAGATATTAAATATCCACAAAGAGACATAAAACAACTGAGAAAGACAAAACAACCACAAAGACACACAAAATAATGCCAAAGTAACATAAAATGAGTAAAAACACACAAAATCCCCATCAAGAGACACAAAATAATGACAAAGCAACACAAAACTACCAAAAAAAGACATAAAATTACATCAGACATACAAAATGAACCCAATATGACACAAAATTACCTCAAAGAGACCATAATTGCTACAAACTACACACACAGCAACAATACACAGCTATAAAGTCTGTGTCTTGCTCCTGTGTAGGAGAGGTGCCGGGGCCCTTTGCATATCTGTGCCCAGGGGCCCAATGTGTGTGTGTGTGTGTGCTATAACCTGCCCATGATGAAATCTTTTATCTCTTTGTATTAGAAGCTGTATAATTATTTCATAATTGCATTTCTGTCAAACTCATGTCATATTTTTTGTTTGTCTGTGACTCAGTGTTGTGGCTGACTATCTATCAACCTCACTGAGGCTCTCCTGAGTCAATAAAGAAACAGTTGTGGTGCAGATTTGTTGTTTTGCTCTAAGTGAATATTTGGGTTTTGTAGGTTAAAATTGATGCAGAGTCACTAATAATTCAGTCAATATCAAAATGTTATAATAACTCCAGTTGAGCAGCAGCTTGCACTTAAACACGCTGAGAATTCAAAGACAATATTGACTCTTACTATTGTTTGATGAAAATGTTTATTGGCTTATTAGTGTGAGTGTGTGTGTGTTAGTGTGTGTGTGTGTCCAGCAGCAGACAGACAGACTCAGACAGACAGAAAGAGGGACTGTCTGTGTGTCCTTGGAGCTTTGTAGCTGCTGTGAGTCAGACTTCAGGAGCTGCAGAGCGTGAGCTGAATCCTGATTCCCTCAGAACTCCCCGGAGGGTCGGACTGAAGCCCGGCCTCCAACTTAACTAGATTTACCATTATTACCACTCTTTCATCCTCCACCATATTCACTCTGACTTTTCTTTCCCCCTCTGCTGTGCTTCTTTGTTGTATTATAATCCTATTTGTTCCTTTGTTAACACATCTTTTTTCTTCTTGGAGATAACACACAAGTTTTCTCTTCTCACAACAAACATGCTGACAAACTGCCTCAAACTGTGTTTAGAAAGGCTTTGATCCAGCAAGAGAACGTCTTTATATTACCAGAAGCTGCATGAGGTGACTACAACCAAGGGTCCAGATGCTAGTTAGAGGAAACAGTTTCACTATCTGTTGGTGATTGAATTGGACCACAGTTAAAGCCACCAAGAAACCTCTGACTCAATGAGCTCGTTCAACAAGCCTAAAAAACTCAAAAAACACTTTCACTTCTTCTTCTGTGGTGTTGTCATGGCACTGGAATTTCTATCTTTGATAAAATACCATGAAAAATATATTCGCTATATAAATCTGATGCATTATTATTCGATACTAGGTGGAAAACTGACATGCAGGGCATACAATCTAATTTTTTTTTATTAAACATTAATATAACAAGGCTTTAACATGACAGCAACAACTTTTCCTTTCTTGGTTTGTGCAGAGAACAGCAGAATAAAAACCTGTATTATTAATTTACTGGATAAACTATATTAATCAGAGCACGCTGAGTGTTCAGATGGACAGTTGGGAAGTAGATCGTCCTGCAGGCGCTTTAATCAATTTTTTTAATATCATGAAAACTTTTAATTCAAAGAGAAAGTCCACCCCTAAATCAAAAATACAATTACAGCAAAATACTGTCAATTTTCGTCGTGGCCAAACAATGGTACTGCAGTTTCCACCTGGGTAGCCAAAATGACCTGGCCCAGAATCG